TCATTCGGTTGCTTTTTCCAAGTGCTGGCTAGCTTATTCTGATGAGAAGGTACCTCCAATTTTTAGATTAGCTGTTTAGCTGTTTTCTGCTTAATTCGTTTTTCTTAGCTCAACAAAATGTATCAATCTTGTGGTGGCGTTTCTTGCTCCGCGTCGTCACCTGGTCACTTAGCTACTATTGCAAAAGTAACTGACTTTATGTTTTATTTAATGAAAGCGGTCGTCGTTATTTGTCTTGTCCTCGTTATTTGTGGGTCATAAACGCATATCGATGCTCCTCCAGCATCCTCTGTTCTCCGCTTTCTGTGTCGATCATGTGATTTCAAAACTTCATTCTACTGTATAAAGACATAAAATTCTCACTCAATGCGCAAATGTTCGTCGGTGATGCCTTGGCATGCATTTTAATACTTTCTACCAGCGATTCCTTGCGTGGCCCACAAAAATTTCTGCAGGTGATTTGCGTTGTTTTAGTTCAGTTTTTCAGCTGGATATCTGCCAGCCACTCTGCTGCAGTTCAAAGTTTTGATCATTTACGCTCTGATTTCTTTAGGAAGAGTTTTGTCTCGTGTACGCGGATTAATGACCTGTTGTGACTATGTCACTCCTTTGGCGAACAAACTTCGAAAGTTTCGTGCTAATCTAAGGAGGTTTATAACATACGTGGAGGTTTTCTTGCCATTTATTGATTGTCTTACTATGCATTCTGACACTAAATTTATGATTGTCAGCATATATATTACGAGATTTTGAAGTATGTAGCGAGGAATTCAACAAATAAACCTTAATTCAGTGTATTTCTTAAGTTTCGATCAATTTGGTGTACATAATTACTGCTTCGTTATTTTTTTAACTTTAGTTAGAGTTTTCTTGGTCAGCAACGTTCATTTGATAAAATCTTGTCCTTTAATACACTCCAGGTACAAGTTCAGTTCTTCTTTTCAGTAAGAGTAAAAGTTTTGTTAAAAGTTAGGACATTCGATCATGGTAATTAAATTAAGTTCGTTATGTTTAAGTCAGTAATTATTTAATCCCTAAAGGATATTATCGTATGTAAGACATTTCATCATCAAGCATTTGAATTGCATTTCAAAAAGTTTATTCTCTCGTTTAGCAGGATGAGAAGCTTAGAAATGCCAGCGAAATCAGAAACTTTAGCGGCTCCTATCCATGTGTAATAGGAATGAGAATTATATGCACTGTTTGTAATAGATCGCTGTTTCAGGTCGACTTGTTTGATGTTGTTTATGATAACTGTCTGTTATTTTTATGCTTTCGTCATCGGTAGAGAGCTCAAGCCGAAGTTTACGTTGTCGCATGCTTGGTCCTGAAGCGATATCCTTAAGTGACCTGCCTAAAATTATCGAAAGTTAAGACGATTTTGAAGCTGCTGCAGGTTGCTGAATATCAGCTATGAGTGCTCTCATAATTAAGCACCCCTGAATCGCAGAAAAGACATATTGCAGCTTTGAGTTTGCCTTTACCAGTGAGACGAGTATCGAAGATCGCTAAAGTATCCAATTTAAACAGCTCAGCAGTTAGGAGAATTTCGCTGCCACTGCCCCTATGACTCAGTGCCCATTTCCGTACGTATTATCTTATTGTTTGCGGAATTTATATTCAGCTGTAATCACTAGGTGCGTTTGGATTTGAGTCACTGTTTATGCAGTAAATGGAAAGAATTTAATTCATAGCTTTTTTGAGTGAACGGTATATGTACGGTTGTATTGCTTCCTATGTTCATTACGACGTTTATGGCAGTATCAGAATCATTTCATTTAAAGACTGGCGTTTGATAATGCTGTTATCTTTATTATATTTGACCTTTGCGGTTATTGAACAGAGAGTTAGAAATATTCTCTTGAGGTGAATTATTTTTCAAGTGATGTCGTTTGCTTATTTTTACCTAGTCAGGTTTCTTGTACACGAAAACACATATTTTGCTTTTTTGTAAAACTTAGCTGGCAGTGGTAGAACAGGTTAGCAGTCCGCTTTACGCTTTAGATGTGCTTGAGTCAGACCCAGTGCTCAGCGTAATTTTTTCTTATTATTGTTAATATCCTAACTCTCGAGTAAAGAATTTACTCCAACATACTTTGGTGCCACAAGCCGAGAAATGGATCCTTGACCTCTAAACAGTGGAGACATTGTTTTGTTCTTCTGTGGTGATTCCAGAGCGGACAAGCCACATGGCCATGCTGTCTGATGCATGCGCTTTACGCTTTACCTTATTCACTTCACCCATCTGGTAGGTGATTGGAAATTAATGCAAGGTTTAAATAGTGACATGAAATATTACTGGGGGAATCCAAAGATTAACTGAAGGCATATCGAATCTCGAATAGGTTCATTAACAATATCGGTACGTGTTTAACGGTAGAGTTAAGTGCTTTCGTTCCTTTGCGCAATTTCATCACCATTACGTCTATGTACGATTATGAGAGTTGAACATGGAAGGAAGCTAATTATTATATTGCTGTTTTATACTTCATCTGCACATCGAATATTTGGTTCTTGCACTGATAGTCGTTCTGAAACTGCAGAAAAAAAATTCTCAGTTAAATGATGGATTCAGTCTGGTCTACATATGTAATTCGTCTGATAGATTAGTTATTAACATTGTTTAATTTGAGCGCTTATATATTTTCCTTTGCAGCTTACAGATATTTTTTTTTGTATCTGAATTTAGAATGTACGCAGATGCGTGGAATATAAATGTGTTATTATATTGTAGAACATATGCAAAACGGTGTCGGTGATTGGTGAATCATTGGTTAACACGCTCTGTGGCGCAAAAATGAGCCCTAGCAAATCAAGAACGCCGGTGTCGGCGGATGAGTCTGACATGGGTATTGTAACAGTACTGAACATGGAGAAATGTCATATAAATGTAATATTTATTGAACTGTCGTTCCGTGTTTTTGAGTCCTTGTTGTTGTTTCAGGTGGATACGCGTTCAATAGAGGCCAATCGCGATGCAGTAGTTGCTCATTTTCCGGCTCATCTTGAAGACCGAATTGGCTGCCTCAAATTCAGTCCCAACGGCATGTTGTTACTCACTGGTGATATCGGTGGAAGGGTGTTCAACGTGTTTAAAATTTTTCCTCATCCTAATTCTTCGGCGATGACTGCTGTTCACCACTTGTACATATTGTATAGAGGCTCTACAGCTGCACAAGTATCATTGGTAGCGTGTTGCAATGCGTAAAACATTTTCTTCAGGTCCATGACATTTCTTTTTGCATTGACATGCGTTGGATTGCGGTCTCTACGTCGAACGGGACAACGCACGTTTTTCCTGTTTCACCTTATGGCGGTACGCTTTCGAATTAATTGTAAAAATGTGGAGTTATTAGGGAAAGTCACACAACATCTGTAGACGGCACACAGTCTTCAAATTCTTTCATAAGAGGTTCTCAAAGTCATCGGTATCATGGTGTAACGAATTCAGCAACGCCAGCTGTAGCGAAATTATAACACGGCATGTTCGTGCTGCTGGAACGATGATTATCATGGCTTCATCAAACTACGCAAAGGCTTTATGTGCCAGAAACCAGTTTCTTCTATCTTCATCTTCTCAACATGAAATTCGATGTCCGGGAGGCTAATGCCGAACATGGAAGGACAACTTTTAGGCAGACCTGCAGCTGTTTAATAATATCTTTGTATTATCAGTAAAAATTGCCTAACAGCATGCGGCTTCGCATGCGCTCACAGATTTTATAAGTGTGGTATTTGGCAGCTCAATTAATCCTCTCACACAAGCACCTGCGCCCCCACACTTGTCGACTTAACCGTTTGACTTTTGGAAAGTATGTCAATCATTTTTACTCGACGTGATCCTTGCAATTCAATAAATAATTGAAAATAACAATGATCCAGGATTTGTTATTTTATAATATTTGCGGTAGAAGTGGCAAAATCCACTGCATTTTCCAAAATCAGATTTTTATCTTGAATTCCGCAGATGAATAATGTAATTAAATCGAAGAAGTTTATGTTCACGTTTGTTAAAATATTTGATGATCAGTGTTGTCATTACGTTGAGTATACCAGCCATTATCACATTCCTTTGTTTGCTAATGAGGAGGAAAAGAGATATCGCGCATCGAAGGACCTCATGCAATTCACAGGATGCGGGCTGCACGTTCATGTTGCATGTTGGCACAGTTATCTAAGAGGTTTGCTTCCAATTCTAGAGATGCTGGGTTCGAATCCATTGGAGGGCAATCTTTGTCTTATTCACGAATCCCTTGAGCAAAACATTTACCACACATTGCTTCACACTGGGATTGCTCAGTCGGAAGAACGTCGAACTCAACACCAGTAAATCTTGAGTTCAAACCTTAGTCAGGATTACTCGCCCTTATTCGAGGTTGATAAGCAGATACCACTCTGTGGGGAAGAAACAAGGGATCATACGCTACGCTTGCCACATGGCTGCAGATTTTACCTTTAAAATAAGACATTTATGGCTGATGACATGGAAATGGATATTTGCATCTTGCCGTTAAATTCATGATTAGAAGGGCTTCAGAAATGGCCCCATCATGATAATGTAAGGAAGACTGAAATTCCTACTGTTACAAGCCTTCCTTTTCTTCCTGTACATTCATGATTTATGATGCATCCGAAATTTCTAAACAGTATGAGATGACTGAAGCGACGAATTTAACTTGAGACTGAGTCGAGTATAAGTTTCTATCACTTTCTCAATATTTAGATGACCCATAATCTGAAAGTTTTGGCTATTATTACAGAGAGACCTAACCTTCAAACTTATAGACAGTGCTTTGTTGTTGTGCTGTTCTGACGTGCTTGCATGATATTGACCAAACATAAAAAAATGTTTTTGGTATAAATGGGCATAGATTTACATGAAAGATTTTCAGCAATGTGCCAAACAAAAGGTTCTTACTAAACACGCACAACAAACATTGGCTGGAAGTTTCGAGCTATTACACAGGTCTTTAGCAAGACCTGATTCCTGTCCTTATTGCTGTTTGCTGTACAAGGATTTCCAATAAAAGTATAAAATGTGTGTAGATGTAATAATCTCCTTAACCCGAATTCACAAAATCGCTTCCTTCTGCAGGCAGAACTGTCCTGGTATGCTTGAAGTGTAATAATTTGTATCTAGATTTGTTTCCTTGTTCTCGTTTTATCTGATTCTTATGTTCATTATTTTTTATTCCTTTTTAATTCTCTAGTCATTTGGCTTTACAATATCCTTATTTACTAATTTGTTCTACTGCTGGAAGATGGAATTAATTGATGTTCTTTTCATGGAAGCAATTAACCTTAATCAAAGTAATTGTAAGAAATTGTTTAATGATTGATTCTTTTATGACATTTTGTGCTTTTTCGTAAGATCACTAAGTTGTCGGCATTTAGTTGTTACACTTTCATAAAATTATTAATTTTTTAGGTGTTACAACCGTCCGCACTCATGGATCTTCAAGGGTAGTCAATCGGCAGAATCGTTTCTTCAGAAGTTCAGGTTTCGAGTCTCTGACCAGCACCCCTCTGACTTGTGTTTCTCGATCGTCCTCGGTCAGCACTTCGAAAGGTAATGAATCGTGGCTGTATAAAACTGTCATTTGATAATGCTTCGACCGAGAAATTACATTTTGAGTAAATTGATCTTGAAGTGCAGTGGTTAAATATGCAAATAGTTTTTCAGGGTTATGCTATCGATGACATTACCATTGCTTATATTATAAGCATTGTTATTTGCCGAGATTATTTTTTAGAGTCTTCCGTGTCACGGGAATATCATCCCAGTCTTGTGTGCGAAAACGTGTCTTTCATACGTTGCGTCAACAACCCGCGTCTGCCTCCTTACCCGCAGCCTGTCTTTCAGGTGGCATCTGTCAAAATAAAGCAGGACTTGCCCGTAAAGCAAAGCAGCGTCGGACTTAAGCCTCTGTTTGGCCAGGCCAGTCCTTCCACTTCAAACTGCGATATCAGTTTCTTTCAACGACTGGCTGTTAGATTCGAAACTTCACGAAGTAGGAGACGTTGTCACCAAAAGCCACTTTCTTCAGGTTAAATTGAACGCTTGTTTCTATCCGCTTCTGCAACGCTTTCTTGCAGATCTCCCGTATTCCATTTTTATACTGAATACCGACGGCGGACTGATCGAATACGACTTTAGTTGTGGCACTGGTTGTGTCTCGACGTCAGATTCGGTGGAAGAAAGTTCGCTTAACGTTACGGTGAAACTCGTTGAACGGTGGTTTATGTTCAGGTAACGGTTGACTGAAATTGTTGATACTGCAATTTTTTTCCAAGTAGGATAGGTTTTGTTTATTTTCATTGACTATAAACCTTTTTCAGCTACAACGCAGCGGATGACATCTTTATCTTAAGTCATATCATCATAGAATTCCACCCTCCTCTATGCACAGCCTTCGTCGACTACGAGACAGAGTTCGACACTATTGAGTACAACGCAGTAGAGACTTCACTCTCAGAACGGTGCATCGACACCCGCTACACCATTTTGCTAAAGGAAGCGAATTCTGGGTACTTCACAAACGTCACTCTGTTCGAAACCTTCTTCCGATTCTCGTGGAGAAGGGCGTGAAATAAGACAGAACTGTCTTCCAGAACTCTTCACTCTCTGTCTGGAAATGATGTTCTGAAGGCGAATTAGAAGGCTGGGATTAACGTCATTGGGTAGACAACTCAGTCACCTAAGGTTCGTTGATGATGTAATATTGTTCGGGGAAACGCCAGCAGTTACAAGACATGCTGCCGAAAGCTCTGAGAAACCATGTAAAAGTCAGACTGCGAATCAACCGGTTAAAGACGAAGACCCAGGTAGTGCGAAACGGCGAAAAAAATCGACGAGGTCGATAAATGCCTCTACCTTAGCCTAGAGACCAGTAGGCAGCATGATCATCCTTAAGGGATTCTAGAAGAAAGACGATTGGTTGGCTTGCGTTCCATTTCATGAAGTAGGTGAGACTATGCAACATCAGGAAAGAAACTCACGTTCAACTCTTTAATTCTACCATCCTGCGAACAATGTTGTTTTGCTGTGATTCATAATCACTCGCTGAAGAGTACCAGCTCTCTGCTACCTAGAGTGCCATTGAAAGAAGAATGCTGTAAACTCCAAGTCGCGACCACGTCCAGAACAAGGTGGTCAGACAGCGGACGGGAGTGAAGGACGTTGTCGTCAAAAGCAGCAGCAAGAAGCTACAGTGTACCGGGTACGTTCTTAAGCTCGCTGACGGAAGATAGTCACTGATGATCGTCTACTGGTATCATCATGAAAGGACTGGGCTACTGGGTCGCCTGCCGCGACAATGGGAAGATTATGTCAGTAAACGCATAGAATGCGCTTGGAGGGAGAAGACTGGAAGTCGCGAGGAATGGTGGGCGTGTTGACCCTGGCGCGATTGGTCGCCAATAACCGGCCGGTCAAAGTGACCGGTTTTTGCTGTTAAAAATTCTTTGATTATAACGAATAATTTAAGCTTACTGCGCTTTTGGTGGTTAGATGCCACCAAATGCTGAAAGGCTCTGTGTTATGGTAGAATCTCAATTACTTAGGATACGTTTTATAACGAAATTCGGTAGTTCATTTAAAGCTGTTTGAATTCACTGTTCGATCTAAAGTTTCTTTCGAGGGCGACTTTTACTGCAAGGTAGCGTTTTTGTTCAGAATAAAATAATTTTTTATAATGGCCACTGGGATGATATTCGTTTTATACGAAGGGATTAAAGTAACTTGATCTTGAGGGTATAAGAAATGTAACAGGTAATAAGAATGCTCAAATAATCAGAGATCTGATAACTTGTCTCATGGTACGCTTGTCTCTTGTGTCATGCAGCCTCGCTCTTATCTTTCTTCAGATTGTGATATGTCTGGTCTGGGTGGTTCTGACAATTACCAAGGGGGTAAGTCTTCTTCTCGCCGGGGTTCGAGTCATATTTCTAAGTTTAACTGATCTTCAGTGATTTTATTTATTTATTCACTCCCATTTTAAAATTGTCGTTGTACATACCTCCAGAAGAAAGCAGTGGCTGTTTTGATTTTCTCTTTTAAGACTAGATAATGCTTCAGTGACTTAGTTTTAGTCGTTAATGGAAGTTTGGCCCTTTAGTAATAATGGTACACTACCATAGCGTAGGGGGACTTTTTCTTCCTTTTGTTAAATTAATGTTTTAAAGAATTAAAATTTTTCAGTGTGTCTTTCAATTCAGGACAAAGTATGATGAAACTGTGTGCCCACCGTTCGACGATTCTAATATCCTGATTGATGTGGCGAGAAGAACTCATTTGTTTTACAGCGGTGCTTTTCAGAAAAGTATACGATATTTTCGTTTTTTGTCGTCTGACACATTTTGTTTCAGACCAGATTGTAG